CTAATGTACAACGAGTGTAAAATTTGTCCGTGTATAATACCCTTCCTTCACCTAACAACCCTTCCATTAAGGACATAACCACCGATTCGGTATTTTGCCTGCCAGTGTAAACTTGACATTTCCATGTATAGCCGGTATTACTACACAATTTAAAGATTTTTACTCCATATTTATGACTTTTGGAAGGTATATATAGTCTGCCTCTCCACGGAATCATACTTTCGTCGATTACTACTTCTTTCCCCATAGCATAGACACGCTGAAAACTACTATTGAGCATGTCAAGTACAGGTTTGAGCTTACAAAGTCCGTCATCGGTTGTTTTATTTTCGTTGTCATTAAAATGAATCATCCGCAAAAGAATTTCAAAACGATTTCTTGACATCAATTCGGAAACCTTATTTTTATACAGCACGTCGGTTGACCAATAAGATCCGAGACTTGGACGACTGTTCAGTCCCATCCAAATATACAAACCCATAAACTTACGGATTTCTTCACCATTTGTAGGGAACCACGCTTTAAGTCTGGATTCGCGCATGACGGTGTTTTTGGAAATTATGTGCGCCGCATAGCGATTGGTTTCTTCCACAATAAGGGCTATTAGCTCATGTGAAACAAAAAGTTGATATGCATCGAGAGGTGTAAATTTTTCTTCCAAGTCAATTTGGATGCCCTCTTTACCAACAAAAGTAAATTTCCGATGATTTCCAGAATATTCGTGCCAATTAAATTTTAGATTATGATTAAAAGAACCTGCTGCATCTTCTTCATCAATATATACATCCTCATTTGAAGAATTTGATTCACTATCCTCTGATTCATCATTTTCACAATCAGGATCGGCATCGGAAAAATCCGAGAAATCTTCCCCTGAGTCATCAGACAATTTGTGCGCTTGCTCTTGAATTTCTTGGGAAGAACGCGGTTTTTTCAAATTCCAACCCCTACAAGATCACCGTAAAAACAGATTGAAAACATAAAACGTCGATTTACTTACATTTTGGTAAGAAAAGGAAATTATTTTTAATTACAGGCCATGTCAGGCATTTTTTGGACAAAGCTTTTTTCACAAGTACGCTTAGTGGGCATGCTCTACACTGTTAAAAATTTCTATTGTTTTGTAAGTTTTTACGCACCACAATATAGTAATAATAAAACTCAGTTTTGTAAATTCACTACAACATTCATTACAACTTAATTTGGGAAAATTACAAAACGTTTGTTGAAATTTACTAAGCATTTATTAAAAAATAGTAACACTATTATACAGGTATTGTAATTTTGCTAAACAAATACTAAATACACTCACTGCGCGTCAAAATTAACTCATAACAAGTAAAAAAAATTAAACTCTAAAACGCCTTTACCAATCTTTATAAAATTTTGGATAAAAATACTTTAACTTATATCTCAGTTTAGTGTTTAAGGGTTTTTCGAGAAAATATCCTTAAAACCCTTTTATTTAATAATAATAAACGCTCGAAAAAACTTAGTAAATATCCTGTGAAACACCATATTTTTGTTAGTAAACCCCGAAAAAATTGTACAAATCAAACGAACATTAACGAAAATACAGCGCCTTAAAGTCGTCAAAAATAACCATTTTTCAGCAAAATAATCAAAAAGGGGTAATTTTTACCGACTTTGAAGCGCTGTATCTTTGTTACTTAAAAAAATATTCTCTAAAAGTTAAGAACGTTTTTTTTAATTAATTAACACGTAAACTGAGATATAAGTAAAAGTATTTTTATACAAAATTTCATAAAGATTGGTAAAGGCGTTTTGGAGTTAGAATTTTTTACTTATTATGCGTTAATTTTGACGGGCAGTGTATGTTTAGTAATTTTAAAATGGTGTATTGTAATTATATTATACTATTCATTTCAAGTCAGTTAAAGAAAATTACAAAATATATTTTACAATTTTACTGAACTGAAGTTTAGGAAAATTACAAAATATTTTTAGAAATCTTAGATTTACAGAAAATTCGTTTGGCAATATTACAATGAAAATATTGTTATTTGGTATAATAAACTACACTAAATAGCTATTTGTATTTGTAGCGCAAAGTGATACATTGCCGCTCTGAGCGAGAATTTGACGCGCGACGCGTAGCGGAGCGAGGCTATCTCGCGAGAGCGGCAATGTCACTTTGCGCTCGAATTACACACAGGATTTTTTCTACAACCGGTGTTTCTATAAGAATGTTTAGTTATTTACGAATAATGGTATTGTAATTAACTACGAAAAAAAAACTGCAATTTTCTTAGTTTCTTCAAGAAACTTTCTTGACCCATTACTGGAAATATTAAAAAAAAAAATGAACCTTCACCTCTACAAAGTTTTTGTTTTAAGTGCGTTCTACCAACTTCAAATACCGATAGACACAATCAAAACACAAAACAAAAGACACCTGAGCTTATATACTGCCCACCTAAGTCAACCGAGGCGAGATGTAAGAACATCACGTGATTGCCGCAATCGGTACATACTATGCAACCCAGAATGCACAGCAAATTGTATCACAGATACTTTATGGCCCAAAGGAATCTAATTTTTTTTTAAAACTATACCAAGGATGTTGCTTGATGAAACTATATATATATATATATATATATATATATATATATATACACTATAGTATCTGTGATACAATTTGTTGTGCATTCTTGGTTGCATAGTATGTACCGATTGCGGCAAAGGCAACGTCTTCAGACGGGTATTGTCACGTGATGTTCTTACATCGCGCCTATAGGTTGACTTACGTGGATAGTAGATAAGCTCAGGTAGTCTTTTGTTTTAGGTGTACCGTGTAATGGTTCAGTAAAATTACAATTTGCGTTAGAAAAATAAAAAAAATTGATGAAATTACAATATTACATAACATTATAGTAAATCATATTACAAAAAAGGTTTGTAAATCTGAGATGCTTTTCATTAGAAACTGTCAAACTATTTAGTAAAATTACAATGCGTGTAGGATTTATACATATAGATTATAATTTTAATAACGATATTTTTTTGTAATTTTACGTAAAATTATATTAAATTAAATAACAGACAATATTTGTAAATCTGAGAAGCTTTTTATTGGAAACTGACGAACGGTTCAGTAAAATTACAATTTGCGTTAGACAAATAATAATTTTCGGTAAAATTACAATGTACTATGTAATTTTACAATCAAAGTTGCAAAAGCAATAAAAAGATTTTTAAATTTACAAAGACTCTATTTTAATTTCAATTACTATATTTTTGTGTTATTTTACATCAAACTATTGTAAATCAAATTACAAACAAAGTTTGTAAATCTGAGAAGATTTTTATTGGAAACTGACGAACGGTTCAGTAAAATTACAATTTGCGTTAGACAAATACAAATTTTTGGTAAAATTACAATGTACGATGAAATTTTAAAATTAAAGTTGTAAAAATAATAAAAATATTTTTAAATTTCAATGAATTCCTAATATGAATTACAATATTACATAATATTATAGAAAATCAAATTACAAACAAGGTTTGTAAATCTGCGATGCTTTTTATTAGAAACTGTCAAACTGTTTAGTAAAATTACAATGCGTGTAGGATTTATACATATAGATTGTAAAATTACAACTTATCTTAGTAGATTTCACAACAAGTCTTGGAAGATTACTCAAATTAATAATAATAATAATAATAATCTTTATTTAGCAAGGAAGCTATCTCATACCTATACAAAAAATAACAATATAAATATAATATGTATACAAGATATGTACAGTATAACAATAAAAGTATAAATAATTTATATATATCTAATCACAGATTCTACGGAAGTGCTCAAGTAAATTTGTCTTAAAATGTTTAATATTAAAGCTTTCTTTTATTTTAGCTGGTAGTAAATTAAATTGTACCAATCCTTTATAAAATACAGTGTTTTTCATCTGAGTTGTTCTACAAATACCTATATTGAAATTATTACTACTTCTAAGTGTGTAACTGTTTCTGTCAGAAACCAATGACAGATTTTGGCACAAATACTGAGGTAGAATATTGTTTTTCATTTTATATATAAACATTAAAGTATTAAACAATATTCTATCACAAACTGGTAACAAATTTAGTACATTTAACATAGTTTTAATTGGAGTGTATATATTACAATACAATACTGTTCTCATACATCGGTTTTGTATGCACTGGATTTCCCCAATTCTATATGCAGGTAAGTTAAAGAGAATTGTTGAACAAAAATCAATGTGTGGGGCAATTGTCGATTTATATAGAAGAAGTTTTTTATTATAATTTGGTATACACTGATTTGTAATTTTACTCATCCTTTGTTTTGAAAAACAATTGTAATTTTACAAAACATTTTAACAGTGTAGTAACTGAATTTGTATGTGTCTGCATATTGGAATTGCCCCCATTACCAAAATAAGCAAGTGGCCAAGTGGTTTTATCCAATAAAATTAGCGCGACTGACATGACAGTCAGAGTGTTAACCAACCTAGCTCTTCAAATAAAACAGATACCCATACATAAAATAATACTTGGTGCAGATTGTATAACCAATAACTGAATGGTGTTATGCAACAGGGAATCAACCTGAGAGTTATTTACATGTCAAGCTTTGTAAATGAATCTTTAGGGATAAGCTGGAAGTTTGTGTGAACCCCATAATCCAGTGAGCCTAGTAAAGATTAATTGCAAAGCATGACACATACAAACTTTTATTTTCTCCTTTAGATAACAATTTTTAAATTTAAAATTTTAATTAATGTGTCAAATCTGACATTTTGTTTCATAAATTGCTATCCTACAAGCCTGTAAAACTTTACGGGTCTATTATACAAGCCTGTAAAATATTACAGGTTTGTTCCCATAATGTATCTTATACAAATAAAATGTCATTTACTAAGGTGGAAACATTTTTAAAAGGATGCATAACACTATTCAATTGTTTTTTAGCCATAAGACATTTCCATAGTCAATAACAAAGTATAACTCACCCTGATTCATCATACTGAACCCCATGATGTTCCACCTTTATTTTTGTCTCAAACATGGCTTCATCCTCATCTTTTTCTTTATTGTGTAAGGAGATTTTATCTCCTTTAGCAAAGTCAATGTCCATTCCTTCTTCCTTAATATTGCACGACAAATCTCTACTTTCATCTTCATCAACAGAGTTGTCATTTTCTTCACTATTATTGATTTTAGATCCAAAATTATGAGCAGGTATGTTTAAATATCTTTGTGGCAAACTTATGATGTATCTGCTAAAAAATAGCATAGGATATATACCTTGGATGTATTGAATTGTTGTTGCATATGCAATAAATGACAACAATGCTTACCCTTTGTCGAGCAACACTTCATCATTATCCAATTCTTCTTTGATTTCTTGTTTTATTGTTATCCCAGAGGTTGAAGGAATTTCTTGGTTATCATAATTCATTGAAATATCACCTTCGGAAATGTCGACTAGTTCTTCAGGTTCCTTTTTAACGACTGTTTGCTCCATTGTTACAGCAAGCTGTGAAAAACAATCATAAACCCTCAAACAACAAATTTAAAGTGTATTTACTTACCTTAACAATGTTTTCACACAAACAAATAAGGCGTGAACAAAAAATATTGCATGATTCAATATTATTCTGAATACAATATTCAAAATACGTATTTCGCTAAATATGTGATTTTAGTTGACCACAGAACACACTAACACACGTATATTTTGATTTGATATTTACATAGAAAAATAATACAAATGACTATTTTGATATTTGACATCAAAGAATAAATATGACAAAATTCCCTAAAGTATCCCTAGAAATATCACCAGATATTCAAAAAGACCGACATTTCCCGAAGGTCGCCGAGTGTCACAGTGCATCATTTGTTAAGTCGGATTTAGAGTAGGGAAGATAGTGGAAGCGTAAAAAGCAACAATTTCCCAAGAGGCGTTAAATAAAGAATTTTTTCTACTCCCACCTTTAAAACTACCTTTATCGTACATGTTTCCATGACACTAAGTGACCTTTTAAATACACATTGACAAGTTGTGGCTTTACGGCGCTTTAGTCACGGGCTGAAGTTAGCAACAGGTTTTTAGTCACCGGCTGAAGTTAGTTTTAAGTTAGTTGACAGTTGTCAAATGTCATACAATCGTTAAAATAAAGTGCCTTTTTTGTGAAATAATACTAAATGTGAAAATTATTTTATTATCTGGATACAAAAATACAAAAGTATTAAATAGTTTCTCAACGCCAAAATAAAATTGGCTTTAAATTCTGTTTTGTGTTCGTCGTAGATAAAGTATAGTATGCATGTTTAATCGTCAATTAAACAAATTTAATATCTTATACTTTCCAAAATTTTATATTTAATATTTTTTAATTTTTTATTATTTTAATTTTTATATTTAAATAATTTAATATTTCGAAGCGGTGACCGACCCAAAGGTGCTGAGCCTACAAAATCAGCACCAATTAATCGGTCATCGCCGTTAAAACTGCATATTTGCACATTGTTTAAATTATCTAGTTGCTACGTCACATTAGAATTATGTATAAATAGGAATTAATTGAATAAAACTTTCTCTTTTTCAACCACAACCAGCCTATCATTCACATCTACCTAACTACCCTCAACATTCCCTAAACTCTACAAGAGTTTACATGGTCCTTCGAACTCAAAAATAATCAGTGAGCGGTAAGCAAGACCAGGGTTTTCTTCCCTGCACTCACTTACTGATTATAAAATAAGCCAACCAGGGTAACAAACCCTTAAATTCAGTGGGCGGTAAGCAAGACCAGGGGTTTCTTCCCTGCACTCACCCACTGAGGTTAGCTAAACAAGACCAAGCTCTATTAAGACGTGGGCAGTAAGCAAGACCAGGGCTTTCTTCCCTGCACTTACCCACAGACTAATAGTGCCAACTCACACCCTTCCTACCTGCACCCACCCTTAAACTTCCCTAAATTCTACAAGAAGACATCCCACAAACTAAAAACAGCAACATCAAAACCCAGCACAATGGAGGAAACCAACAAAATAGTGGCCAAACAAGAAGAAATTGGGCAAGCCATCTCCAAGCTATTGTCAAATTCAAAAAAGGACTCGTCCATAAGAAAAACACCCCAATATATTACGGAAAGGACAGCCAAAATCGACGAATTAGTACAACAATGTGCAGAAAACAACAAGAAGTTAGAAGAATTGAAGTGTACCTCTCACGTATACTTTACTACTAAGTATTATGAACAAATACTAAACAAGGCAGAAGAAACTAGAAAATACCTATCGACTTGTGCCAAACAAACAGAAGTACAAAGTGAAACAAACAACGAACAAATTATTAGACTCCGTAAACAAAAACTACGCCTAAACTCCCTAAAACGCAACTTAGAGAGTTTAGGAACAGAACTTATGGTAGATAAACCAAAGTACAGATATGAAAATCTGATGAAAAAACTGTCAAGCCAGTGGAGTTCACTGCAAGAACTTCACGAAGAGCTGATAGTTCACGAAGACGAATTTACTGACCAGTACTTCCAGGACGAACAATTTGAAGAAATAGAACTACTTTATGATGAATATGTGGAAAAACTAGAAGAAAGAATAGCAGAAAGCAACAATGAGAGTAAACCAAACCTCTCATTACCAAAAATACAACTTCCACACTTCAAAGGCGGATACGAAAACTGGGCAACATTTCATGACATATTTACTAAGGTCATTCATGAGAACAAGACAATCTCACGCATTGAAAAAATGCAATATCTAAAAGCGCATGTCCGAGAAGAAGCCAGCCGACTGATCCAACATCTTCATATTACCGATGGAAATTATGAAGCAGCCTGGGAACTTCTCAAAAAACGATACGAAAATACACGAATAATAGTCAGCAAACTAGTGGATCAAATCCTGGATCTTCCAAAAATTCAAGGTGAATCCACAAAACAATTACAAAGATTACATGATGTAACAAATGAATGTCTCAAAGCGATTGACAATTTGGGCATTTCAACAGAACCATGGGGTCCATTGATTGGAAGAATTATCAGTCGAAAATGGGATGAAGAAACGAACAGGCTCTACGAACAATCATTAGAAAACCCGACCCAAGTACAAACACTAGCTTCGATAATGAGCTTCTTAGAAAGAAGATTCCAATCGTTAGAAGCAACAAAAAATTACACAAAACCGATGTTTCACAAAAACACGCATAACACTTCCAACGTGAACTACAAGACAAAGGAAAAAACACTATCATGCACCATGTGCCAACAAACGCATGCCCTAGTAAGATGTCCAAAATTCCTGTCGATGAATGTGGCAGAGCGAAACGAATTTGTCAAGTCAAAGAAACTGTGCTACAATTGTCTTGGTCACAGTTCGGAAGAGACTTGCTACAGTAAATGGAGTTGCAGAACATGTAACAAACAGCACCACACATATTTACATACGGAAAAACAACCACAAAAATATGTAAACAAATCATTTGGATCAAAACAAGATAGTCAAACAAAAATAACAAACTATCAAACAACGAATAAACACCAAGAAGAACGTGCAGTTCTTTTGGCCACAGCTCTAGTCCGAGTCAAGGCAATAAATGGAAGCATGGAATATTTACGAGTTTTGATAGATTCAGGATCACAGGCTGCTCTTATAACAGAAGAAGCAGCTCAACTATTGGGATATCCTCGGCAGAAAATAACCGCAGAAGTCACTGGTTTAGGAGACAGTCCAAAACAATCCAAGTCAAAAATTCAGTGTGAGATCAAATCCCGATTCCCGAGCAATTTCTCACTATCAGTAAATTTCATAGTATTGCCAACCTTAACACAAAAACTACCGAGCGAACCAATAATGCCTGAAATTCCAACCAATTGGAAGAATTACCCACTTGCTGACCCAACATTTCATCATCCTGGACCAATTGATGCCATTCTAGGAGCAGAAGAAGTTAGCCACATTCTCCAAAAGGGCCTAGAGAGATCTAACGATGGACTACTTGGTCAAGAAACTACTTTGGGGTGGATTTTATCAGGCAGCATAAGAAAAAGCCCAGCAGTAAAAATTTTAAGCATGGTTAGCCGCGTAGAAGAAGATAAACAACTGACAAAATTTTGGGACATTGAAGAGGTGACAAATTATCAACCCCGCCCATTGTCTCAGAATGAGATAGATTGCGAAGCACAATACAACAAGACTATAAAACGAAACAAAGATGGGACTTACACAGTCAATACACCATTTAAAGAACATCCACCAAATCTAGGTGATTCGAAACCAAAAGCCATAGCCCGTTTAATGCAGCTCGAAAAGTCGAAGCTTAACAAGCCATCAAATCAGAACTTAAAAGAACAATACAACAACTTCATGCAAGAATACATTAACCTTGGTCACATGAAGCCAGTCAAACCAGAGAAAATAAATGAAGGAAGATATTATATCCCTCATCAGCCCGTCATACGAGAAAGCAGTTCAACAACAAAACTAAGAGTAGTATTCGATGCATCATCAAAGACCACAAATGGAAGGAGCCTTAACGAGACGATGCATATTGGCCCAAGACTTCAAGAAGAACTGACTGATATTTTACTACGATGGAGAAAACACAAGGTAGTATTTACCGCTGACGTCGAGAAAATGTATCGACAAATACATTTATCTGAAGATGATCAACACTACTATCGAATATTATGGAGATTCGATACAAACCAACCAATCACAGAGTATGCTTTAACAACCGTGACATACGGAACAGCAGCCGCGCCGTACCTAGCAATAAAAACACTGCAAAGGTTGGCAATTGACGAAGCATCAAAATTTCCGAAAGCATCAACCGTAGCTCTTCGAGACTTCTATGTAGATGATCTAATGACCGGATGTGATTCAATTGAAGCAGCCAAACACCTTCAAGACGAAATCATTACCTTGCTTCAATCTGGAGGATTCAATCTTAGAAAATGGTCAAGCAACAAAACAGAGCTAGTATCCCGTCTACCAGATGAACTTCAAGAACAAAAAAGCTCAGAAATAATGGAAGATGATGTGAAGAAAGCGCTCGGAGTACACTGGGCCCCTGCTGATGATACATTCCGATTTAAAGTAGAAGTAACAGAACAAACCAAAATAACAAAAAGAACAATACTCTCCGAAGTGGCAAAATTATATGACCCCTTGGGATGGATATCGCCAGTTGTGGTAAAAGCAAAACTACTTATTCAAGAACTATGGATTAACAATCTTGAATGGGATCAACAAGTACCTCCAAAGATAAAAGATAAATGGGATAACTTCTATAAACAACTGAAAAGTGTCGAAGATATTCATATTTTCCGATGGATTCACTACTCCCCAACAAACAAAGATCAAATTCAACTCCACGGCTTTTGTGACGCATCAGAAGTGGCTTACGGAGGAGTTGTATATACAAGAACGACTAACAAATTTGGAAAAAGTCAGGTGACGCTCCTAGTCGCGAAATCAAAAATAGCACCTGCAAGAAGCAAACAGTCAATGCCACGGCTAGAATTATGTGCTGCACTATTACTAGCTAAACTAATGAAAAAAACGGTAGCTGCTCTAGGCATCACTGAAATAAGACAATTTGCCTGGACAGACTCCATGATTACGCTCGCTTGGATAAAAGGCGATCCAACAAGATGGAAGACCTTTGTTGCCAATAGAACATGCGAAATACAACAATTATTGCCGCCAGAACACTGGCAACACGTAAGAACAGAAGAAAATCCTGCAGATATAATCTCGAGAGGTTTAGAACCGGCAAAAATCAAGGATTC